TGCATTGCTAAGAACTTCATTTGGACAACTTTAAAGGCGAGATTCCAGATTTTCATAGTTGTATCTCGGCCAAATATTGTCCTATCCTAATAAACCATACATCAATGGAAAGCTTATTTATTCAGCTTTCAGATGATGTATAAATCTCAATTTCAAAAAATTGACCCTTATGACTGGTTTTGTGTATACAAGACCGTCTTTCCCTACCTTCCCCATGGGTTTGGGAGAGTCCCAGCTCTTCTCTATTGATGGGGGAATCTGGTAAATGTCTTGTGTCTGGTTCATAGAGGGTGGCACCTGGTACACATCCTGCCCTAGACACGGCCCTCCTGCAGTGGGTGGCACCTGGTAGATGTCCTGGCCTGGAACATTAATGGAGGGGGGCACCTGGTAGACATCCTGTGGGGAAGGAGGGTACTGTGCCTGGCTTTGCTTTTGTGCCACAGCGGGAGCTTTGGGTTGGGGCTGTGGAGGTTGGGGGCCGGTAGGCACCTGGTAGAGGCTGGAGGGAGCAGGCAGGCCGTGGCTGGGGGGGAGCATGTAGATGCCGTCTGGGTTGGTTGAGTTGGCGGAGCTGGAGGAGAAGGCAGGGTGCATGGCCGTGTACTGGGATGCAGGGGGAAGCTTGCTGTAGGCACTCTGAGGCAGGTTGAGATGGCTCTGTGTTGGGCTTGGTTGGCTCGTTGGCTGCTGTAACTGCTGCTGTTGCTGTTTATCATACATGCCCACGAGGATCTTCAGCCGGTTGCCAGGAACGATGCCTTGACGGCCGTGTAGCGAACAGAGCCACCAGCCTTCCAGCCCCTGCGTGTCCCGCTCCAGGACGGTCATGATGTCACCCTTGCGAAAGGACAACTCGTCCGGAGACTCCGCCACATTGTCGTACAGGGCCTTTGCCAACACATTCTACAAGAAAGGAGAGAGAAAGAGATTGAGTTTGGTTCACAAATGATCTCGTATTACACCAGGATCATCTCTTATGTTCACCAAGGCTGCATTTATCAAATAATTTGATCAAATAATACAGTAAATTTTTTTATTACAGTTTAAAATAACTATTTCTATTTTTTATATTAAAATGTAATTTATTTCTATGATGCAAATCTGAATTTTCAGCAGCCATTTCTCCAGTCTTCAGTGTCACACGATCCTTCAGAAATCATTCTAATATGCTGATTTGGTGATTAAGAAACATTTTTATTGTTATCAGTGTTAAAAACAACTGCAGAACAGTTTGTGGAAACAGTGATATATTTTTTCTTTCAATTTTGTTTTTGATGAGTAGAAAATTCAAAAGCACAGCAATTGAAATATAAATCTTTTGTAACGTTATAAATGTCTTTACTCTCCTTTTTAATCAGCCTAATGCTTGCTCAATATAATAAAATAAAAATCTTACTGACCCCAAACTTTTGAACAGTAACATACATATATATATATATATATATATATATATATATGCATATTAACTTATTAAGAAAGGTGTGAAGAATGACTTCAGAATGAATAATGAATTAGACTGATTATCCAGCAAGCAAAAGAATAAAGGATGAAGCAGTATTCTTATATATTTGTATTTTGAATATGTCAAAAAATATAATTCAATGGTGAGTTTGTGAAGCCATTATAAGTGTGCACTTTATGAATGAAATCACAGAGTTTGATTTCATGTTTCAGATGGCTGTCTTGTATATCCTTTTATTGAGCATGTCTCCAAAATCCAAACTTGTCAAGTGTAACATTAAATCAATGCTGTTGGCTGTTGCTATTGTATTTCGAAATCAAGCAGAACCTTTTTAGCTCATTTTTTAGCTTTATTTTTCCATTTGCTAAATGGGATCAATTTACAGGTTAAGCCCCTCACACATTTGGTTCCATCTGAATAGAGATACAGAAAAAGATACATTTTGTCATTGCAGTAGATACAGATACGGACAAAGGTTTCAATGCATATTCCTATTATTGTATATGGCAAATCCTTCGAGTTCCACAAGATAAACAAAATGAAATATACCATCTGCAGAAACATCATGGAAATCATGAAAATGTAAGGCTCTTATATGCTCTTAGTTTCACGCTCTTCAGCTGTGCAGTGTGTTGCGAGAGAGTGCAAAGCTCTCGGCTGTGCTGATTGGCTGAGCTGATGTTGCTTTCAGTGTGTACAGAAAATTGTGTTACATGAGGCCTGAATGAATAGACAGCTACCAAGGCCAGACAGAATGTGGCTACATCTCTTGGTTTATTGAAAAACATTTCTGCCTCTTGAAATCTGTCAGAGTCTGATATTACCTGAATCCATTTTTTTCTTATCTATGTGAACCATTGCTAAGGTACAAAAGGGGCTCAGTGAAACAATTTACGTTATAACAAGATCTTGTCTCTCTCACCGCATTCATCAAGTTTCATGTGTTGGCTGTATCTCACCACGCCGTTCCTACACAATGCTTTCGTGTGTCAGTCTGTTGTTGTGCTGTTAGTGATGGCGGTGACCTTTATTATCAGCCTATTATTCCTTTGTCTTTGACCTGCCATCTGATACTGTTGGGTCTGTCAGCCAAGCGTGCCACTAAACCATTTGATCTCAGATAGTACAGCATAGTTATGCCACCAGCTTGACGTGTATCCAGCATGGACTACCTAGAAATAAACTAGCCTGGAAGGTTGGAAAAAGACATGTACTGGTAATTTTCTGCCAGGACGCTATCCATTAATTTTACGGAAATTTCCATTAACCCTAAAACACAATGCAATGCAGTGCAAAATTCAAAATACAGGTAAAACAGTGTGATGTACTGCAAAAAAGGCAGAACCATTTCCACTCAGTGCTAGTAAATTTCACAAATGAAAAGAAATGGCAAGAAACATATCAAATTAACTGTGAAAGCAGAAAGACTGAAAAAGTAAAATTTTTTTAAATACATACTACAATAATCTTTGTTTTATTAACTTAAAAAAATCTTTTTACAGTGTAAGATGCTCTTTTAGAAAGCAGAATCTATCTGTTTTCATTATTTCTCCTGAGTTCTTGTGATCTAGATCTAAAACTGCAAACTGCACTGATATGGAAAGTTTACTCAATGCCAATAACTGATAATTATTTATATATTCTTAAAAATAAAGGTGCTTCACGCCATAGATTGAAGAACCTTTTGAAGCACCTTTATTTTTAAGAGTGTATTTTGGAACTGGTAACCAATATATTGTCCAGTTTACATTTTTGTGAGACTGATTGCAAAAACAGTTCAGATTTCTGTGTGATTCAAATGATACCAAACATTGCTTACTGTATATATGAAAAAAAAAAAGAAATTTGACTATACTATGATGAATTTTTTTTTTTTTTAGTTGAAATCAAGCAAAATGCTAACATTTTATTTTATTTGTGTTTAAAAATAGATAAGCCAACTAGAAATAACGTGGAATCCTATTGTGATTGTGGCTATAATTTATTGGCATGTTTTACGTATTGGACCAATAACAATAACATTATATAATCATATTCAATGGCTGATACCGATATGGCCGTTGATGTATCCCTAGATATTGTGTTAAAATATGTGCTTTTAAAAATAGTTAATTCAGACTGCCCCCATTCCCTTCTATCACTTAGGTGACCCCAAAAAAAAGCCCAAACCTGGGATTTATGTCATTCCAAACAAATGGCGTTCTACATCAGAGTGCTCCTCATTTATTACACCCTCATTTGACACTCCCATTTTCAGAGGCCCACTCTTCCACAAGACAAGAACAGGGCAAATTCATCCTGCATCAATTTCAATGTAAGCCTTCTGCTTCAGTTATCTGTCAGAGAAACGTAAACACTAAGGGAGGCTTGCACGCACGTGGAGCACACTGGGAAACCAGCTCTGCTGTGAATGTTTATAACTGCTTATTATGGCGGTTAATGCCCCTCTGTGATTTACAGGCTGTTCTTGAAATCGAATGTTTAACTTTGGCCAATAAAGCTGTGTGAATCAGCTCATGACTCACCTTTTCTGACTGAACATATATGAGCAAATGTGTGTTTAGAGTACTTTTGGTTTACACAGCTAAGACCACCATCACATAAAGAGATATTAAAATACTGAAAGGAGTATAAATATTTCAGACGTTTCATATTTGTCTTCTGTATTTTTCAAAAAGATAGTCAAAGCATAATGGAAACACATGGTATATTCTGACCCTGTAGTGATGAGCTGAGTTACTAAACTGAGTTAATAACTAAAATAGCAACGCTATTAACAACAACATTTTTCAATATTATGATAGTACTTCATCTGCTTTCAGAGTAGCACCTTCTCTAAAAAATCTTTTTGAAGTATTGAAGCTTTAGCAAGACAAAATATTACATTCCATTTTTTTTGTACAGCACACAGCTTTACAGCAGAGCAAGTAAACTGTCCTCTCATATACAGTGTTATAATGTGTGATTCATTTTACTGAATCAGTTCATTTGGACATGAACCATTAAAAAAAAGTGATTTACTGATTCTAATTCCTGCAAGGCATTTCAGATCTTTTTTTTTTTTTATAAAAGAAAAATTGTTAAATTCTGCTGTTTATCACGTTATTTTCAACTTGGTTATATAAATTACAATGTATTTTATTTGATCTGTTCAGGTTTAATGCTGTCAGCCTAATTGATATTGTTTATTCATTCAAAGACTGAAAAAAAGATGTTTTATTATTTTTGTGCCATAAAATAGGACTGGTTAAATTATACATTTATAATGTTGTATATCTAAAAATATATTGCCCCCTTATATATATATATATAAGCATTAATGTCCTGTTAAATTTACAGTAAAAAAGGGAAGCTGTGGTTAACAGGAAACTACTGTAAAATATATAGTGACAATTTTAATGTATATGTATACCAGTCTACTTGAACAAAATCATAGTTTTACCGTAAAATGCACTGATAACCAACATTATAATAGAGGTGGTAAAATAGACGAATCAGAGTTCATCAGAAGTGGCCTGTCTATAAATCATGGCCAATACTCATGTATAGAGCACAGGATCAAACACACAAAGACAACGCAGAGTACCACACGACACTAAAATAATGCAATAAACATTTACACGTATTCATTCAGCAGATGCTTTTATCCAAAGTGACTCACAAATGAGGAATACAACAAGCAATTCATCATAAAGAGGCAAATAAACACAAGAAGTGCTTACAAAGTTTCAGCTATATCATTTAGAATAGTACAAGCTAGAGCTATTTGTACATCTCACCATCACCACTGTATTGCATTGCATTATACGTTTCACCACACAATAAAAATGATCATAAAACTGCATACTTTTGCTCAGTTTGGGCTTCTGAATAATCTTGAGTTGCTTTTCCCCCCTCCTCCAGTATGAGCTGCATATTCATACTAGTGTTGTCAGTATAGCCTACAGTATATACATACATACATGTAAATATTTTTAAAATATATACAATACAAGTATGTTTGTGTATTTATATATACATAATAAATATACATAGTACACACACATATATTATTTAAACAAAAACGTTTATTTTGGATGTGATTAATCGTTTGACAGCACTAATTCATACTATATCATTCTATATGAGCCATAAAGCCTGTTGTATTCAATTTGATACCAAACATAAAACCTTTCTTTTATATTTTTTTCAACAACTTCAACAAACCATTCCAATTAAAAATATATAAAATAGTAAAAATACTATTATTTCAAATGTCAGGCTTTACAGGGTTAAAGCAGCTTCCCCAATACTGCAACTGTGTATGCTCTCCTTTTTTTTACCAACAAAGGCCCTGGTGCAGTATGTTTTGGATTTCCTGCAGACTGAAAAATGATGCCTTAAACACGGTACAGAAAAAGGAGACAGCAGCTAGTTGTCAGAAGCAGAACCAACAGTCTTT